AATAAAATCTGAATAAATCTGCGAGAGATCCCGGGCTAAAGTAAAGAGTCCCTTTTACTTTGGCTGCCTGTTACGCCAGTATCGGTTTCTGCGTAGTTCAAAAATAAGCACTAGATAATAAGAACGTATTAATATACGTAGGAAAATATATATTAAAAAATAATAGGAAAATACATATTAAAATATACGTAGGAAGATATGTATTAAAAATTATTAATATAGGAAGATATATTAAAAACGGATGAAAAGAGATGAACAGAAAGGAAGGTAGGAGATGAGAATTACAAAATTTGTAAATTAGTAAAATTGTTTTAATGGTAAGAAATTATATTGGTCCATTAACTTGTATACATTTCGTGCCATTACCACAACTGGACCTCGTCAGTACGACGACTGTGGTAATTGAAATTAGTAGATATTAAGATTAAATCGTGTATATATTTTTAATAGATATTAAGATTAAATCGTTAACAGTAAGTAAATATATATATATATTTTATAAAATGTTCTTACTTATATTAAAGCACTAGATAAATTGGACATGAAAATTCACGAAGGCCCTGTAATCAAACATTTTAGTAGCAAATGATTTGTCCTTTCTAGAAGAAAGTAAGAATGACAAAAAGGGGCTTTATCGTTTTGTCACGCAGGAAATACTTCTTGGGCCTAGTGTCTGAAAGCATTTTTCCGATGTTTTCCATCATTCCATGATCACATTTTTCAGTTATTTGCCAACCTTTAACTCAGAACTAAGTTAGAATTTTCCCCTAGAAAGCTAAATTATATTACAGATGCTGTTCATACTCTCGCTCCCGACTACACGAATAAATACGATCTGAGCAATGAGAAGGAATTAGCACGACGCGAGAAGCGTGATCGTAAGGCACTCACGAAACGACTGCGTGCCAGAAGGCGTGCTGAATTGGCGATCATTGCAAAGCATGAAGCAAAGTATTTCTTTTTTTTTTCTTTAAATCTTTACTTAGACAGGCGAAGAATACAAAGTTAGCAGTGGTGAAAAAAAAAAGGGAACCTACAAAATCTGGCGGCAATAAGCAGATCTAGAGGAGGGGGAGAGGGGGCGGGGGAGGAAGCGAGGAGTCTTTCGCCCCTTCCTCTCAGCGGGGCAGGCATCAATGCTGCAAAAACCCGGGTCTAAAGCTAAAATTAAAGTAAGCTATGGCCTGAAGTAACTCTAAACCGGTGTAATTCTAAGTAACAGTGTTACAACTCTACTCCTAATTTTTGCATAATTTCAGGAGAGGGGGTTCTCCTCCCCGTCTCTTCCGTTGCCACTTCCCCTCTCCTCCCAGAAGCCCCATTCTCCTCTCCACGCACCGTCGCCCCCCCCCCCCTCTTGGCCTCTCCACAAGAGTCCGTCCTGCATCCGCCTATGCCTAGTGGGTGGCAAGTAGGATTGCTCTTGTGCTGCAAATCAGCTTTACCAATGCTGCAGTTAAACCCTGCGCGAATTGTTCTTGTTTTCTTATTGTTCAGCGTGTCGAACCCGCCATCAGTCAGTAACCCCTGAAAGAGAATTCCATTGATGGCCTTGCCGACAGGTAATTGGTATTGGCAATTGCTACTATCAGAGCAATTTCTAGTGGCTTTACTTCTTGAACATAGTAAAGGGGGACTGGGAGAGGGGATTTTGAATTCGATAGCAAAAAAATCCTCATCCTTCCGCCCCATATTGTTGTTTGATCTGACAGTCGGGAGGAGAGTTATTGAAAGGTTAATCCGAAAGTGGATGATGATATGTTTGGACGGCGTGATCCGAAGATTCTGGATTGCTGGGTCATTTCCAGTGTCCCATGAATCTCTCTGTATATGGCCTGCTTTCTGCTTTTTTTACACGACCTGTGGAAACCTCTCAGACCAACTCACTCGAAACTAGCACTGTATCATGTGAAAGTTTATTTTTATTATTTTGACGTTTCTGAACGTGATTTGTCTTCTTTACACAACTCACACAACTTTTACCCAATTTTTTATTGTTTTTAAAAGGGCTGTTAATATCATTTTTTCAGATTTATTTTATTACTTTATTTAAAAAAAAAGATAAACACCCTTTTGCAGGCAAAAAACAATTTCAAATGCAATCGAACTTTTGTTACAAATCTTACGTATGATGACCTCGTTTGCGATCCTGGTTGGTAATATTCGTAAAACATTTATTCCGGCTCAGTTCAAGTGGCTTAAGCCGGGTCGTCATGCCTACGACAATCCCGAATTAATGATGCTGTGGAGGTTTGCTTTCCGGTTTTTCCACTCATCCTTCTTCCTCGATTCCTGATACGGCGTTTTCGTTCTCCAGTATCTGAGGCGATAATGACGCCACGAGTTCTATCCTGAGCGCGTCTCATCTACAGCGCTCCATATAATCGAATTAGCAAATCGGACCAGCGCATCGATGGCCTTCCTACTGGCCTTTTTCATTTATAAACGATGAAATTATCGGCTTTTAAAAGCAGCAAGTCAGAGGGCGATCTTCAACTTCTGAAGAAATTGTAATCAAATTTAAAAATAGAGAATGGATATCAGAGCAAAATTTATTCCTGCTTGGCTGCAGAAATATTTTCCACCGGCATAAAATGTATGGTGAGGCAAGCAGTTGAGGGAGATGTTAAATGGATCTATCATTCGGTAAGTTATCTCGTCGCAGTTTAGCAGTGACAGTTTTCGGAACTGGATGATTATTCCCAGTCGACACCCAAGGACATTTCGGAGCGAATCAGGCATCGCTCGAATTTTGTTTACCTAAGTTTTGACTTGTGGATGAGAAACGTGGAGCACCACTGTCGCAAAAGAAAATAAACTAGCTGTTACACAACGATCAGTGGGGAGACGACTATTGGGTGTCAAGAGAGCGTATACGCAACAGTGAGTTTCGATTACATTCTGGTGTAAAAGATATAATAGACGGAATGTGTGCAAGGGAAAGAAGCCGGGCTGGTCACGTAGCAATGATAATCAACAACAGATGGACGAAACGCGTTATCGATTGCTACCCACGACATGTAAAAAGGTCGCTAGAAAGGCCACCGTGCGTTGGTCCGATCCACTAACTTGATTGTATGGAGTATTGTGGATGAGGCAAGTAGAACTCGCTGGTGTGGTTTTTGGCTTAGTCACTGGAGAAGATCAACGACGAGTCAGCGACAGAAATTCCGTATCGCGTAAGTTCCGGCAATCCTCAACGAACAAGAAAGAACCCAGACGATGCTGATATCTAAAAAGGTCAATCATGGGGCCATGTACAACTGCCGCCCCGTATGCTTGCAGTCTTATATGTGCAAATTTTATCATGCTGTTGGTTTTATTCGCGAAATTGAAAGGACGCCGACAGAAAATAGCACTTTGGTAATAATCACATCTTCGCAGTGCCATATTTTGTTGAGCACTACAAGAAATACGATGAAAAAAGTACCACCGTCTCCCTGTACAAGTCGTGTCTGAAAAACTTGCAAAATCACTGTCGCAGAAAAAAAGTAGGCAATCACTGATACAACTATCACTGATGAAACGAATGTTCAGTGTAAAAGAAATGAATGGATTAGAAGAGTAGAAGGATTTGACTTGAATGTCACTTGTATGAAGACATTTTATGATGCAGACTGTGTTTCATCCCTTAGCTGTAAACACAGACCGAACTGTGCATGCGGGTAGGAGCGGGAATCATCAGCACAGTCTACTACCCGCCACGTTTTGAATTGTCATGTAACTAATTTGCAAGACGGATAAGCGAAAGAAAGAGATATCGGTGAAGGAGCATATAAAGTGAGAGAGGAAAGAAAGGAGTTAACATGTGATACGGGCAATCATTATATGCAATTATTAGAAAACGCTTTTTGTGAGAATAGACTGCTGACTAGGCACTTAATTTCTGAATCATCAGGGAAGATGAAATTGCTGAGTACTGATCGGTTTCTGAAGCAGAATCTGAGAACGGAGCGTACTAGTTTTTCTGAATGTTCGACTATAACGCATAAACAGGACGAGTTGCGGTCACATTCTAGTGCAAGAACCGTGGAAGAAGAAATGTATATGAGGAAGGGAAGCAGAATTGGTTGTGTGGTGACGATTACTAATAACAGATGAATGAAAAACAAATAGATGAGTTGTAATGAATGGAAAAGTTTTCGGTTGAATAGATCGCGAGTTATGCTACAAAAATAACAACTGTACAAGTATTGGGGGTGGGGAGAATTGAGGGAAAATATGCCAGGGCTCTGGCGATCTGTAAGCATCTCCGGTTCCAGTGCTGAATTCTCAGTAGAGGATTATGAGGTGTATGTGCTTAGGTTACTAGTATCAGCAAAATTATGAATTATTAGTAAATCGTAGTGACTTTCAGTCAGCTTCAGTTATATTTTTTTCAGGAAAATTGCTGCTAAAAAAGTAGCGCATGCGGTACCTATTGTGAAGTTAATGTAATATGTCTGCGAAAACTTTTTACGCACTTTTAAGGGTTTTTTTTAGCTTTTTCATGGTCTGAATATTCCAGGTGTACAGTATTCCTTGATGTGCTTCTATTTTGGACAAATGTTGTTTGGGCATACTGTCTGCAATGGCATTTGTGCTGCCGCCTCGGTTTGCTGAAATTTTGGACGTGGATAGCAATTTTGGTACTGGTTGGTGGTATATTCATGCTTCTTCCAATGTCGCATGTACAAGATAATCTTGACATAAGCTGGTGCCGTTTCACGCCGAACAGTACCCTTTCACGTTATCAGCCGAATTGGTAATTGCCGCGTTTTCTTAAATCTCAAACGCATTTTAGAACTTTTCTGGTACTTGCGCGTTTAAAAATACTAACAAGAACATGTCTGAAGTTTTCGTTTGTATCATATGTTTCTGTATATTGTACAAATTCATACGCATTATGGTGGTATTGTGCATGGGACATGTGTGTATGCATGTATGTATGTGTGTGTGTGTGTGTGTGTGCGTTTATGTGTGTGTGTATGTGTGTGCGTGTGCGCATTCTCACGACTGTAGAAACTTGTAATTAGGGACATAACTTTTTACGTATACGGTGCTACAGATTTGGAATCAATCAAAATCAGTTTCGATCTGTAACCTTAAGTTTAAACTTGAGCCAATCATGCAGCTTGAGGAAGAAGAGCAGCGGATCTGAAATATTAATGGTTTGATTTTCCAAAAAAGTTCTGTCCTACGACGTCAGCTCAAAATCAAGGCAAAGTTATGTTGCAGGATCGAAGAGCGCTTCAGTAAAAAATTTTTAAATTTTTTTTGTTTTCAGTTCATTAGACATCGGAGCTAATTAACTCGGAAGCAGTTTCATACTTCAGTGTAATTTGCATTATGAACCTGAGTCCAAACCTGAACAAATTTCATAATTTAAGAATGTGACAAATGTGGGTTTGAAGTTTTCGGGTTCAGCTCTGTATATCGCATGCTGATTCACCAAAAGTAAGTTTCAGAACCAAAAATAACTTGAATTATAAAACGAACAGATCCGCTTAAAAGGGGAAGGATACCGAATTTTTAACATGGCAACGACATATACTAACAACCTTTGTCTTATTCGCATCTTCCCAATTCGTACCCTCGTGCGATATGATGAGTAAGGAACGCGCAGACGGGCTATCTCCTTTTTGAAGCAAGATTTCGTGAAAAAATCGGGTAATTTTTTTTGGCATGTACTAGTAATTTCCCACTAATTTTTGTACCATGTTCCATTTCTTCTTTTTTCAGTTTTGTCTTTAATTTGCTTAAAATTTTATCTGATCTCCTTGCACTATGTCCTGCCAAGTGGTGGCTTGGGACGCTTTTTGATCAGTCAAATCCCATCGTACATAAATCGGTTCTCCGTAATGATACGGAAGCAGGCACTGAATATGCGCAGTATTACGTAAATGCACGAACATGTATTTTATCAGCATTCGTGCATGTTGCTGAGGCGAATTCCCCTAATTCTCTTACTTTCTTATGCTCTTATGCGCTTATGGTACATTCAGATGAACTTCTTTCTTCCTCCTAGATATCCTGAACAACTCAGTGTTCTTGATGCCATCCACTTGCATTCTTACCGAATGGCCGCCATCAGTGGTTAGCTAGCTAAAACCGTTTCAAAGTTGCTAAAAATATCTGGCCTAACCTGACATTTTGCGTTTGGCCGACCACTGACGAGAAAACGTATGCGCGAAACCACATTGTTGCTTCAAATGGTGCTATGGTGTTATTTGTTGGGATGCCCTACTCATCAACTGCTGGAGGAAGTGTGCTTGGAACTCTTTTCATTTTCTGCGGTAGTTCGATCTCTCGACTGAATTTTCGGCAGTTTGATCCTCCCACGTCGATTTCGCTGAGGCTCCAATTCGATGTAAAACTTGAGTTTATACAGCTTCGGGAAGGCCTGCTACAGCTTACGCGGCTGTGTCAATGCTGTTGAGGCTGAGACGTAGTGGTTGGTGCAAAGGCCCCAATTTATTCTCTTTTCCAATAATCCATTAATCTTTAATAAGGTTAAGGGATTATTGAAAAAGAGAATAAGTATTTGGTCCAAGACGTTTAAGGAATCGTGTGGGTATGATGTGCGAAGTTCTGCTTGCCTCGTAATCTTTCATATAACTGCCACAGAAGGCGGAATAGGGTGTCTGGGGGAGCGCATCGATTAGCATAGCCACGCAAGTTTGCGTCAGATTTTCAGTGTGTTGATATTTTGGGCTTTACTGAATGTTTAGTATTGCAGTTCTGTGTTTTTATAAGGGTTATTTCATGATCCACCAGGTCATCTGGGAAGTAAATACGCCCATGTATATTTTTTCTGCCACTCTTTATCATTTTTCTGGTGATCCTTTCTAAAAGCAAAGCTAACACTGCATTCCATTGCTTCTCACTTTCGTTGTAATAACAACATGCCGTTTCATCATTGAGAATGAATAATGGTTTTCTTCCACCACGTTCTTAGGACGTTGTCAACGTTACGGGCGCATTTGGACGAAGTGTTGGTTAATTAAAAGTATCGCGCATTTGGCGACGTATCCAGTTGTTTCTCGATGTAAAGCTGATGACGGCATGTCGTTTCGCTTCATTCAGCCACGATTTCTTGTCTTTCACTTTCCTGGCTAAGATTTTTCAACAGTGCCGTAAATTAGCTCACGCAGTAATCTTGTAGGGGCTGCTGTTGGGTTCCGCGTCCATTCTCTGTGCTACTCAGCTGTCCACTCAACCTCGACTGCTTAAATTTCCGGTCCAAAAACCGTTATATTGGAAGGTTGATAACCACCGCATTTGATAACCTCGAGAACTGAAGACAAAAATTGGTTTAGCTGTTCAAAGTGAGCATCTAGCGTAGCTTTTTAAATGC